AATCTTCTCCTCCCCCGACCTCCTTATGGCTCCATCACACCTTGGGTCTAAGGTTAACATTTTAGGCCGAGGGCTTTGGGAGGCTCAGGTGAAGGGATCACTTCAGGCCAGGAGTTTGAGACCAGCCTGGGCAACATAGAGAGATCCCATCTATGCAGAAAGTTTCTAAACATTAGCTGGATATGGTAGTGCGCACTTGTAGTCCCAGCTAGGCAGGAGGCTGAGGCAGGAGGATCTCCTGGGTCCAGGATTTGGGGGCTACAGTGAGCTGTGATTTCACCACTGCACTCCAGCCTGGGCAACAGAGCCAGACACCATCTCTAAAAAAATTAATAAATAAGCTAAAATTTTAGAAATATTTCCAAAGAACAGTATAATTTGGATTAAGAACCACTGGTTTAGGGTTCTATAGCAATGGTTCATTTGCCTTTTTATTCTTAATTCTGCACTGTTATACTCCTATTAAGCATTCTTTCCTTCAAATGACATTTTCTCCTAAATCTGCAATCCCAGTATCTGCCTCTTGCCCCCTAGTCCCTTTGGGAATATCTGGCAGTGATACTCTTTGCGCGGGACTGGGTTTTACAATCGATGACAGAGAATCATTTTCAACACCACCGGGACAAACCATACCTCACCCACAAACAATCCCTAGGCTTGTCCCCGAGCCTCCATGGCCATCAGTGGGTCTACAGAGCTGAGATTTCCTTTCTGACTCCTTGAAACGCTCACACAGGACAAGCAAGTCCAGTGGCTTATCTAGCAGAGACCAGCATTATCAGACACGTAATGGAGAAGCCAGAGAGTAGCAGGAGCCCTCTCTTGTCACTCGTTACCTCTTTATTGCCGTTCTGGGCCAAAACCACACAAGCCACCAAATGCAGTGGACACCTTTGATGAAAGCAGGGCATAGTGAGTGAAGGAGTTAGAGCCTTGTTCAGCCCTGTGCAGACCCAGCTGAGCCTATGGAGATTTTTTTTTTTTTTTACCAAGATGGAGCCTCTCTCTGACTCCCATGCTGGAATGTAGTGGCCTGATCTTGGCTCACCTCAACCTCCATCTCCCGGGTTCAAGAGATTCTCTTGCCTCAGCCTCCCAAGTAGTTTGAATTACAGGCATGTGCCATCATGCCCAGCTAATTTTTGTATTTTTGGTAGAGACGGGGTTTTACCATGTTGGCCAGGATGGTCTCAAACTCCTGATCTCAAGTGATCCGCCCACCTCCGCCTCCCAAAGAGCTGGGATTATGGAGTTAACCACCACACCCGGCTGCCTGTGGAGATCTTAAGCTGGAAGCACTCCACAAATACATAGTTCTGTGCACGAGTGACATCATCTTCATCTTCTCACCAACTTTGAAATACTGTGTTATATCCCTTCTTTCTGGAAATTAAATGTTTTTTTTTTTCTTAGAAAATGATTCATTCTCACTCTATGTCATGCACTGAATAATAATTACTATAATCGTTTTGGTTAATATTTATAGCATGTTTGTTATGTACCTGGCTCTTTGCTGTATGATTTTCATGGAATACCTAATGTAATCCTCACAACAACCCTATGAGAGTATTTATGCCCATTTAATAGATGAGCAAACTGATGCATAGAAAGTTCTAGTTAATTTGCTTCCATCATGGTGCTAGAGAGTGGCACAGCCAAGATTCGAACTCACAGCATCTGACTGCAGTTCGCATCTCTACCACTTCAGCCTGCTGCCATTTTGCATGCTGAAAACTAAAGTACTGAAAGTTACATATATTTTGCCTAAGTTCATACTCAGCAATGACTTAGAACCAATCGTAGAAACTAGACCTCCAGCTCTGGGGAGTGCTATCCCCTCCCCACTGCCCCCCGATTTTTTCAGGTGGCAAAATAAGCCTGAATACCAGGTGTTCAACATTCTGATTTTCCTTCCAGAGCTGATGTTGGTTCTCATGTTTTTTGTTTTTTTTTTTTGTTTGTTTGTTTGTTTGTTTTGAGATGGAATTTCACTCTTGTTGCCCACGCTGGAGTGCAATGGCATGATCTTGGCTCACTGCAACCTCTGCCTCCCGGGTTCAAGCAATTCTCCTGTCTCAGCCTGCTGAGTAGCTGGGATTATAGGTGCATATCATTACACCCGGCTACTTTTTGGTATTTTTAGTAGAGATAGGTTTTCACCGTGTTGGTCAGGTTGGTCTCAAACTCCTGACCTCAGGTGATCCATCCGCCTCAGCCTCCCAAAGTGCTGGGATTACAGGCATGAGCCACCGCACTCGGCTGATTCTCTTCTTCATAAATCGGTTTCCACTCTGTAAGGGACCACACTACTCCCCGACCAGGCTCTACCTTGACAAACCTTGAAGATACAGCACTAGGGAGAGCAGGTGACCCAGGGCATAGGCAGGCAACTCTGCACTTCTCAGGCAGGCACGAAGGGTGTCCAGGCAGCAAGCTGAACCTCCAGCTCAGGGTGATCTTCGGCACGGGAAGCCCCCCAGACTGGCTGCTGAGTATTTCATGCAGAAAGAGAATGGAGCCTGGACAAATTATGAAATATGGGACTGTCACTGTGATGATATGATTATGGAAAATTTACATTTTATATGTCAAGTGGCAACTTAATTTAAAAATAAAAAATGTCTGCAGGCTGCCATCCCACAAATAACGTGTGGCTTGCTGTGCAGCCAAGCACTCTTACAAATAAGAAGGAAATAAAACGTGGGAATAACAAAATTGTTTGGCACAAGAAGAAAAGGGTGCCAAGCGTGTCCGGTTACTTTCATAGCAGTTTCTAATATGCCATCAAATGTGCAAGCATGTTTAGAACCAACTGGAGGCCATATTAAATGGAGAGTTCCATGTGACATTATTCCAAGGAGGCCTCCTGTTTCTCATTATTCTGTTGCACGTCTCTGAACAGGCGGTAAGGGAGAGGAAAAAGGAAGCTGGAGGAAGTCCCTCATAACTGTGCCCACTGAGCCGTCTGTGCTGGCTGAGTGGCCCAACCAGACCCTAGCACTGGAGCAGAGGGAAAGGGGATGGCGCATGCCTTTCAGCAGTATCTCCTCTCCTCCCCAGGGGCACCCCCACGTATCCTCAGAGCCACCGCCAGCCAACCTCAGCATGATGCAAAATCACGAACAGGCCATTAAGGAGAATATATGATCGCCATTTATCACTGAGTGTAAAAAGAAATGAAATGGAGCCACTAACATAAAAAACCAACTGCTAGTCTCCTGGTGAGGGTCTTTATCTTTTTAATCCCAGGGCTTTAAAAAATGTGCATTTAGATCATTTGCCAGGATATAAATGCCAATTCCAATACTTGTGCAAATAATTTGATTTTCATCTATTAGAATTCAGTTTAAGATTTTTTCTTTAAGTAGAGAAGAAAAACAAACTCCGTTTGTTCAGAGTTTGTTTTTCTATTTAAAAAAAAAAAAATCCAGCTAAAGATACATTAAGTAAGGCTGGGCCTTTCAGCACTTTGGGAGACTGAGGTGGGTGGGTCGCTTGAGTCCAGGAGTTCGAGACCAGGCTAGGCAACATAGCCAGACTTCATCTCTACAAAACCTTTAAAAAGTTGGCCAGGCATGGTGAACACACCTGTAGTCCCAACTACTTGGGAGGCTGAGGTAGGAGGATTGCTTGATCCTGGGAGGTCAAGACTGCAGGGAGCCGGGATTGCATTACTGCACTCCAGCCTCTGCAATAGAGTGAGACCTTGTCTCAAAAAAAATTAGATATGTTAAATATAATCATCCTTTTTCTCCCAGCTGAATTTCTCTTTTTTAAATGGATCATTGAGCTATAATTTTAAATTCTAAATACAATTCAGTTGAATTCTGAAAATGGACTCTAAAAATAATACCAAAGGAAAAAAATCTGTTACATTTCTTGTGAGCTCTTAACTTACATGCTCCAAACAAACTCAAGTTTCTTGAATTTCCAACACTGCCAACTACTTGAAAATCTAAAGATCAAATTGTGCTTACTTTCCATATGTTGTAATGAAATTATAGCCTTCTCTTCTCTATGGACAGTCTCTACACATTTATAGAATTTATAGTCCTGGCATTTTATTATCATGTTAGCATCACTTATAGAAGAGAACAGCCTAATGAAAATAACTAGACCCTTGTTCTGATCTTTTCCTTAAGCAAAGGGTATTTTTTGGCTATTTTACAATTATTTCCCTGCTCCTGGTAGAACCTATGTCCAGGCTAGGCACAGTGGCTCATGCCTGTAATTGAAGCACTTTGGGAGGCCGAGGCGGGCGGATCACAAGGTCAAGACCATCCTGGCCAACATGGTGAAACCCCATCTCTACTAAAATACAAAAATTAGCTGAGGGCGGTGACACGTGCCTGTAGTCCCAGCTACTCAAGTGGCTGAGGCAGGAGAATTGCTTGAACCCAGGAGGCAAATGTTGTAGTGAGCCGAGATCGCGCCACTGCACTCCAGCCTGGCGTCTGGCGACAAAGCAAGACTCTGTCTCAAAAAAAAAAAAAAAAAAAAATCTATGTCCAGAGAAAAGGCAGAAACCAGTTGTATCCAACTGAAATTGAAAATTCTTAACTTCTTGAGTGCTGTGAGAAAAATCAGATCCCAATATGTGATTCAGTAAGCGGTACATATCAATCTTCAAGCAGAAATTAATGGGCAACCATGAGTTTAGGGTAATTCTAGGTTCTAGGAAACATTTCTGTTATAGTAGAATTAGTTTTTCTACATAGATGGTTTTACACATTAGGGAGAGAACGATGACACTGGGCTTCATTCTGAACATAAATCTCTTTTTTTTTTGAGACAGAGACTCGCTTTGTCACTCAGGCTGGAGTGAAATGGTGCAATCTCAGCTCCAACCTCTGCCTCCCAGCTTCAAGCGATTCTCCTGTCTCAACTTCCCCAGTAGCTGGGATTACAGGTGTGGGCCACCACACCCAGCTAATTGTTTCTGTATTTTTAGTAAGGATGAGGTTTCATCACGTTGGCCAGGTTGGTCTCGAACTCCTGACCTCAAGAGATCTGCCCGCCTCAGCCTCACAAAGTGCTAGGAATAGAGGTGTGAGCCACCACACCCAGCCTCAAAACAGAAATCTTAAATGAAGACTTGGGTTGAACTCTTAGGACTTGGAAGAACTGGACCATGTTATCTTCTTTGGAAAGATGGGAAACCCAATCAGTAGGAAAAACGATAGAAATTCCAGAAGTGACCCTGTGGTGGAATTTATTTCTGTGTTCTCAAAGTATTTGGGTCTTGTGGGTGTCTTGGCTCTCTTCGTTCTGTGTATCCTTGTACAGTTTCATGTAGGGCACATTTTTCTTATTTAGTTATGTAAGGACACTAAGTAAAAACATTGAAGACCCACATGGTCAGTGAGCCCTGGGTGAGACAAACGTCCTCTCTTACTACAGTCAAAACTGTTTCAACAGCAACTGGTGGACCAAAAGGAAATATTGTGCTTCCTGCCAGTGTTTGAAGGAGATGACATTATGAAGCTTGCAAATAAATATCTAGCAGGCTTCCTATCTTTGCCTTTGGCTTCCAAATTGCCAACTGATCGCTGGGACTGCTGTTGCATTGCTTTTTATTGTGTACTGGAATTGCTTTGGGTATTGGCTTGGCATTAATCAATACTCATCACAAAAAGGAATAGATGATGAGACCATCACCGTTCCTCCTTTTCCCAGGCCTTCAGAGGTCCAGAAAGGATCACTCTGTACGGTAAAATCTCTACTATCTGGACCAGTTTGGCTGCAAATGACCCCAGTGATGAGGTTTTCCGTGCTTCTTCTAGGAATCTATGTTCACAGCCTGCCGGGGCAGACTCTGCCTCATTTTCTTTTCTGTTTCATATCTTCACATCACTTCCAGTTAATGCATAGTATGCAGAAGCAGAAACAGGTCAAAATTGGGTTGAATATATTCCCCTCCTCTGTGGTTTTCAAATCTCTGCAGCCAAGAATTTCCTCTTTGAACCACACACGATGAACAGACACCTAATAGGAGAAATAAAAAGTTGATTTCCTTGAGCAGCAAATTTTTAGCTCGCACAAAATTCAATCAATTATATAAATGTACTGATTGATAACATGAAATTGCATGAAGTAAAGGGAAATTTTATACTAAAAATAAAAGCCTTTTACTACAGTGGAAGTTTTACTGGGCATAATAGTGTTACACCTGAAAATGGATTTTTAAAAAGGGACAGAACTGAAATTAAACAGCATTTGCACACTGCCTCTTGTGCAAATAAACTTTTCTGGGAAAATGGTTTGAACAACCAAGAGCAGAGATCAAGCGATCAGATTCAGGAGGTTGAATTTTTGTTCACAAAAGTAAACATACAGATACTTTTTGATTGATAATAAAAATGGTAAGTGGAAGGAATTCTTTGTTTAATGTATATCTCCATCTGTTTTGACCCAGCAGTCAAGATCAAGTTCCACCATTGGTGCAGTAAATGAATCTAAATTCTCACCCGAAATGGGATGACCCCACCATCCCTGGAGATACCTGTTCCTTGAAAGAAGTAACTGCAGATCTTGCCAATTCTGTTACCACAGTTGCAGCCTGTATTAATGAAGAAATGCTCCAGTTGCATTCTCTATTAAGTTATTCTTTCAACAGATGTCTACTGAACACACTATGACAGGTATACCTCTAAACACCAGGGATAATGCCAAGAATAAAACACGCCCCTGCCCACGCTCAGGGAAGTTCCATTGTTTTTTTTGTTTTTTTTTCTTTTTGAGACGGAGTCTTGCTCTGTTACCAGTCTGGAGTGCAGTGGCGCAATCTTGGCTCACTGCAACCTCTGCCTCCTGGGTTCAAACGATTCTTCCGCCTCAGCCTCCCAAGTAGCTGGGACCACAGGCGCGTGCAACCACACCCGGCTAATTTTCTTTGTATTTTTAATAGAGACGGGGTTTCACCGTGTTGGCCAGGATGGTCTCGATCTCTTGACCTCGTGATCCACCCGCCTCGGCCTTCCAAAGTGTTGGGATTACAGGCGTGAGCCACCGCGCCCGGCTGGAAGTTCTGTTTTAAGAGGACTCAGGGTAGACAGGAAATAAACAAATATAAATCTGTACTATGTCAGATGATGAGCAACACCATAAACAAAAATAAAGCAGTCTAGGAGGATGGAGAGCAATGGCAGGGAGAAGAATGTGATTTGGACCGAGTGGTTGGGGACTGCCTCTCCCTGAGAGAAGACCTGTATGGCAAAAGATGCCATCTGGGGGAAGAGAGTCCCAGGCGGAGGGAACTGTAAGTGTGGTGGCCTGGGGGTGGGAGCATGGCTTGTCCCATGACTGGAAAAAAGGAAAGGAAAGAGAAGAAAAGTGGGCGGAGATGAGATGGGGGAGAAAGGAGATTTCCAAATAATGTTGATTTTTTAGGCTGGCGCATGAACTTTGCCTTTTACTCTTAATTAGATGGGAAGTCATTGGAGGAACTTCAGCTGGGGCATACTGTGATCTGGCTTATGATTTTAAAGGATTACTCTGGCCATGGCATGGACACAGACTAAAGGAGGCCACGTTCCATAGCCTGAGTCGTTTTTAGCCATTCCCTCATTGGGCAACAGAGACAGCATGAGCATGAGATGTGCAGATAACGTGAAACTGGGGACATAAGAGCTTCTAGATCTTCAAAAGCTTCTTTTTAACTTTTGACACCCAGCTGAATTGCAGCCTCCCCGCCTCCACCGGCAGCCCACCCCAGCCTGATGGTCTGTCCTTCCCACGTGGTTTGTCATTGACTTGTGGCACATACTGCCTCTATCATTACATGGCTCTGTGACCTGCAGGTGTATTTGCCTGTCTCCCCTTCAATGCTGTGCCAACCTTGAAAGCAGGGTGGTAGCATGTTCACCTCACCATTCTCCCCAGGGCGGGCACATCACAGAGATTCAACAATGCTTCTTTGCATCAGTGAATTCTTTAGCAGTCTGCTAGGGCCAGCTAGCACCAATAAGATGAAATATCTTAACAGTCAACCGCTTATGTATAAGATAAACATGGCCTGCCTTTACAATAGTCCAGGTTTTTTTTAAAAAGAATCTGATTTTTAGCAGACCTTGAACTCAGTGTGAGGCATAAGTGTGATATAGCTGTTGTAAAAAAAACTAATGAAGCCTTATGGTCAGCATAGGTTTGAGCCACTTGCCAGTTAGAATAAATGCGTCTTATAGCATACATGATGCTGTACTGACATACCTTGTTTTTGTGAGTATGCATGTGTGCACACATGTGTGAGCAGAAGCATTGTTTCCTATTTCATCAGATAAGGGCCCAGCCCACAGAGCCTGAGTCTAAAGCTGTGGCACCAGTAGTTTGGAAGCAGAAAATGTCACACTCAGGAGCACTTGTTTGGAGGCTGGGTGCTTTGGTTCCTTCACAGTGTAACTTGGTCAGGGGTTTTGCTGACATCTGAAGAAAAAAGCTGTTTATTTACATGTACACTGTAGATTCTCCTTAGATGAAAGGAATGGCCTTAGTTAAATATCATCTTCAAGGAAACATATGTGGATGCTTCTAAAATTCAAACAAAGAGACAGAGATTTTTGGATAAAATTGCCCTGGAAAAACCTCGCTCGATACAGACAATTGACCCTCAGGTTTCCCACCATGCTGTTTATTGTGTGTCCAAGGTGTGTGTTCCTTATTACTTCCTTCAGGAAAATACATGATTATCCTAGGTTATCATTATGGACTGGGTGCATTTTTTTCTCATCCTATTTTCTCACTTCTTACAAGCATAATTTAACCAAAGAATGAACTGCTCACAGTTGGTTATAATGCTGAATAACAAATCAATCCTGCTGTTTGAATACAGTCTATTTATTGCTGACAATTACTGTAGTCTGTAGAAGTCATAAATAGACAGACATGGCAGAAATAGTCAACATTTCTGTCACATGCTTCGTTGTAATGATTCAGTTCTACTATGTCCTAGAGAGAGAGAAAAAAATTTACAAAGCACAGAACTTGTGGGTTTCTAAATAATTTTTAACTGGCACCATACGTTGCTAATTTTGTCTCACGTTTTGGCATTTTCTAGTCAGAAGCAGTGTGATCTTGTCATTAGAATAATAAATCAGGAGTTTTGTCCTCTAGTTAAAGTAGAGGCTTGAGAAGGATGAGAGCTTTTTTATTTTTAGAGCAGACTCCACTTACCTTATAGATAGAAAATGATCACCTCTAGTCTAATAAAATAAACCATCTGTCTACTGCTTGTATGTACTTCTACATGACCTTAAACAAGTCATTTAACCTCTCCGTGCTTTACTTTCTTCTACAAAATCAAAGGGTTAGATCGCACCTATTTTCTGGCTCTATAAGATCATCGTGTACTGAAATTGATTTTAAAGCCCATTGCTTGTCTTTATTTACCTCCTTTTTTTTTTTTTTTTTTTTTTAATTCTTCACTGGTTATCACCAATGTAAAGGATAGACAGATGGACTGTCACTGTCATCATGAGCTGGGGCTGCGATAACAAAATACCATAGACTGAGTGGCTTCACCAACAGACACTTATTTCTCACGGTGCTGCAGGCCGGAAGTCCAAGGTCAAGGTGCCAGCAGATTCCATTCCTGGTGAGGGCTCTCTTCCTGGCTGGCTGTGTCCTCAAGTGGCAGAGAGAGAAAGCTCTGGTCTTTCTTCTTCCTCTTCTAAGGGCACTAGTCCCAACATGTGGGCTGGGGACTTACCTACACCTAATCACCTACCAAAGGCCTCATCTCCAAATACCATCACATTGGAGGTAGGAGTTCAACATAGAAATTTGTAGGAGGGGAATACAATTTAGTCCGCAGCAGTCACCATATAACATTTCTAAATTCTTTTTTTTTTTTTTTGTGAGACGGAGTTTCACTCCTGTTACCCAGACTGGAGTGCAATGGCGTGATCTCGGCTCACCGCAACCTCCGCCTCCTGGGTTCAGGCAATTCTCCTGCCTCAGCCTCCTGAGTAGCTGGGATTACAGGCACGCACCACCATGCCCAGCTAATTTTTTGTATTTTTAGTAGAGACGGGGTTTCACCATGTTGACCAGGATGGTCTCGATCTCTTGACCTCGTGATCCACCCGTCTCGGCCTCCCAAAGTGCTGGGATTACAGGCTTGAGCCACCGCGCCCGGCCAACATTTCTAAATTCTTAACATACGAGTGGGGAAAGGTTGCCACAAGAAGAAATGGAGAATAATTTAAGCGCACTGGCGCCATGCTGTCTGGGTTTGAGTTTCAGCTCTGTCCTCACTAACTCCAAGACTTTTTCCTTATCTGCTGCTATTGTCTGAAGGTTTGTGTTCCCCAAAATTCTTCTGTTGAAACCTGGCCCCCAAGGTCATGATATTAGGAGGTGAAGCCTTTGACAGGCCATTAGGTCATGAGGGCATGCTGAGCCCTCATGAATGGTATTAGTACCCTTATAAAAGAGGCACCAGGCCAGACGTGGTGGCTCACGCCTATAATCCCAACACTTCAGGAGGCAAATGCAGGAGGATCACTTTAACCCCAGAGTTTGAAACCAGCCTGGGCAACATGCTGAGACCTCATCTCTTCAAAAATACAAAAATTAGCCAAGCATGGTGTTACACGCCTGTGGTTCCAGCTACTTGAGAGGCTGAAATGGGCAAAGGCAGGCAGGATGTAAAGGACACATGGAAGGCATTCATTCAAGAACCTCGTCGCAGCTTTTGAGAACAGGATTGTCCTAAGGAGACAAACACACTTAGGTGAGGAGGATAGCACTGAGTCAGTAGCTCCAAAGTTCTGCTTCCACCAAAACATGCCTACATGCCAGAGGAATGCTAAATGCCAGACCTTTTTGTTCCATCAAACTGGTTTCATAAAGATCTGGAGTGGCCCTGTGATTGCTTTGCACCTGATGGCTTTTCTCACCTGCTGTAGACTCTCTAGTACTTTAAAAGTCTTGTTCCCCTTTTAAGAGACAGGAGAGACATAGGAGTGTGGCAGGGGATAGTTTCTGAAGTTCTCATTGGCGACTTTGATGGCCCCTACTGTGTTACGTAAGCTGGGTCGGGTGCGCATGCAGGGGTGTAGTTTCAATCCAACTTTTTTCTTTTTTTTCAGACAGCATCTCAGTCTGTTACCCAGACTGGAGTGCAGTGGCATGATCTCAGCTCACTGCAACCTCCGCCTCCTGGGTTCAAGTGATCCTCTTGCCTCCACCTCCCGAATCGCTGGGATTAAAGGCACATGCCACCATACCTGGCTAATTTTTGTATTTTTAGTAAGGGCAGGGTTTCACCATGTTGACCAGGCTGGCCTCAAACTCCTGACCTCAAGTGATCCACCCTCCTCGGCCTCCCAAAGTGCTGGGATTACAGGCGTAAGCCCACCACACCCAGCCTCCATCCAATTTTTTTAATTACTTGGATTTTGAAAAAGTATTATTTCCTTAATTACTACATTTTAATTTATATAAAATTAATCCTATATAACTTAATAAAAATTAATTTAATTTATGTACATCAATTTCATTTTAATTTATATATATTCTCACTATGAAGCATTTTCTCTACCCTAAGTCCAGTGAAAATGTTATTTTTTGAGACATCTGTGCCAGAAACATGTTTCTGAAGGTTTGGAGATTTTTCTAAGTTTTCTCTCTCTTGGACCCGTTACTACGCAGAAATAAAGTGGGGCACATAATTGGAAAATATAGGCGTCTACTTACTATTAACTCATTAGTATAATGATGACTGAACAGCTTCCTAAGTACAATGATATCCAACTGCAGTATAAACAAAGTCACAGACAACTGGCTTGTTTAAAACTCATCATGGTTGAGCAGTTTTCTTTTTAACCTTTTCTGCTAAGGGACATTTTTTTTTTCTGCACATCAACTGTATTCATTCCTGACCTCTCTGAAACCCACATCTCCAGTCATTGCAATGAGTTAAGAAGCATGTGTGAAAGAAGTTCGACAATACAATACCTTCCCCTAGACATCTAAGTAGATGTCACTTTGGAAATTAAGACAAACTTTCTAATTCTCAAAAGTAGCCACCAAAGCACAGATGCCTGTAAATCAGCTGGGAAGACATCAACTAGAATGATTTGGGCATGAATAGGAAATTAGGGGGGCATTTGTCATTTAATTATGTATTTGAAATGTTATTTTTTTACAAGAAACCATTTTGCTTTGTTTTATAATAGTATTGACTGGCCAGGAACAGTGGCTCATGCCTGTAATCCCAGCACTTTGGGAGGCTGAGGCAGGTGGATCACTGAGGTCCGAAGTTCAAGACCAGCCTGACCAACATGGCAAAACACCATCTCTACTGAAAATACAAAAATTAGCCAGGTGTGGTGACCCATGCCTGTAATCCCAGCTATTCAGGAGGCTGAGGCAGGAGGATCACTTGAACCTGAGAAGTGGAGGTTGCAGTGAGTTGAGATCGCACCACTTCACTCCAGCCTTTACGACAGAGCAAGACTCTGTCTCAAAAAAAAAATAGTATCAACTGATATTCATAACAGACAGGTAGCAGAGCCCAAAACTTTGCACATAATATTTGACTGAAAATTAGTTAAGGGGATGAATAGATAAATGAACCACTCTGACATCCTGCTTCCAAAGTTCAAGTTCCTAAAATTCTGCATGACTTTTTTACTGCTTGTTCACAGTATCAGAGCTAGGGGCTAAGGTGAGGGTCATTTAGACTAGAGACGTCATTTTAATCCAACGAAGATGTATTCAGCCTAGTATGTGCCAGGCACTGTTTAAGGCTTTGGGGATACCAGAGAACGAAACAGACCAAAGCCAGACCTGCAAGAAACCCATGGGGTGACAGGCAATGGACAAATAAATAAACACACAGTATAGGAAGTGGTAAAAACAAAGGAGAAGAATAAATCAGTGCTGGGGAAGAGAAAGCGTTGGAGACAGGTTTAGGTGGAGTGTCTCCTTTTCACAGGAGGTCAGTTGAATTCTCCCCATTGGGAAATGCCTGTTGACTAAGTGATCACTTTTCGTAGCATGCTTTATAGTTGACAATGCGCTTACCCACACCACCTCCTCTGAACGTTCCTGCAGCTCTGTGAGATCCTAATACTCCTCATGCCATCAGCAACAAAACTGAGGATCAGAAACTGACTAAAGGGCTCAGCCAAGGCCATGCATCTCATGAGTGCTGGTGCCCAGCTGTGGCTCAGATTTCCTGTCTCCTTTGCTAAGTGGTACAAAGAGAGGGACCTCCCGTGCCAACCCTGCCAACTGGGGAATGAGGGAGACTGAGCTGTTTGGTTTGTATCCTGCTCAGTTACTCTTTTCTGGAGTTTGATATTCATGGTAATTGATTTGTTTGTTTACCCCATAGGGAGAATAAAATACAGTATGTGTACATTATTAAATAAAATCTGTGGGCAGGGCACAGCGGCTCATGCCTATAATCCTAGCATTTTGGGAGACGAGGCAGGTGGATTGCTTGAGGCCAGGAGTTTGAGACCAGCCTGGCCAACATGGTGAAACCCTGTCTCTACTAAAAATATAAAAATTAGCCAGGCATGGTGGCACACACCTGTAATCTTAGCTACTTGGGAGGCTGAGGCAGGAGAATCGCTGAACCTGGGAAATGGAGGTTAGAGTGAGCCAAGATTGTGCCACTACCCTCCAGCCTGGCCCACAAAGCAAGACTCCATCTTAAAAAAAAAAAAGAGTATTAAGACAGAACCAGATAGAAGAATTGGGTAGAATCTCCCAACAATGTTAATATCTGCATGCTTATCCCTCCTGTGTTTCTCAATCCGATTCACATCCTAGCTCAGGGCTGTATAATTTGTCGCTTGACTTGGTATTCATCACACTAAAGCCACTTCTTGGTGATGAGAGTCTTTATCAGGAAGTACATCATCCCTGCTATACTGAAATTTTTCAAAACACTGTTTTGAGAGCCAAAACTTCAGTGGACCCACAAAGGCAATCCTTTTCCTACTTAGAACAATCCAAGTATAAAACCTCAAAGCAGATTTATTTCACACAAAGCTTTCGTTTTAAATGTGCTCAATCACCGTGGATTTCAAAGCCATGTGAGATTTTTTCTTCTGTTTCTTTCCTTTTTTTGGAAATGAGTAGAATGTTTTTCTTCTCCTAAAAGCAAGCAAACAAATACAAAAGAAATAATCAACGTATATTTACTGAAAATACGGCATGGTTTTAGTAAGGTGCTGACCTCAGCATGATCTGGCATGACACATTAGAGAAAAATGTAGATTTTAGAACCAGAGAGAGATTTGAATTCTAGCTCTACCACACACTGGGGAATCTCAGGCAACTTACTGAGCCTCTTCTATGAAATGGACATAACACCTGCTCTGAAATGTCATTATGAGGACTATGTGAAATAGAGATTGTTCAGCATCTGGTGTATATTAGTCAATAAATGGTACTATTAATTACTACACACTAGTTGGACCTTCCCTCGGGGCAATAAAGCCCTTGACCTGGGCTGGGATCCCCAAA